AAAAAAAAAAAAAAAAAAAAAAACGCTAATAGAAGTAATAAGTTGGAAAGGGAAAAGCAGCAGTTCAGTGCTACTAACATTAAGTATGATAATAAACAATGGCAAGATGTACAAGGTGGCTCAGAAAAAGGACGGTTAATTCTGTGGAGTGTTTGGGGTTAGAACTCCTGAAGAGCAGGTCAAGAGGGCAAGAAATTGAGATTCAGATGAATTTGTGATGGGACCAATTAGTGAAGAAAGTGTTTCTGGAAAAGGGCTGATAAATTAAAAGGATGTAGATCTATGTAGGAACTGGAAATAATTTACTAAATTTGAAAAAAAAAGCAGTCATAGTAGCGGTGAGAAATGAAAGAAGACATGAAATCAAGAAGTTACATTGCTAGATGGCTTCTTCTAACCTTCCTTGTTGCTGTCCATGGCCATATTCTGGGTCTAAGGATTAGCAAACATTATATCTGAGATCCAGAGCACAGCTACAGGAGAAATTTGCTCAAGAGGAGTTGAGTTTTAGTAGAACAGGGAATAAGAAACTGTGAAGATATGTTGTGAGGTAACTGTCACACATGGACTTTGAGTTCACTCAGAATGATGGCAAGAGTTCGAGGAGAATAAAGAATCATGAAGTGGGTACCAGGAAATTATCTGAAGGTCAATGCAAGACAGCAATAAAAAACGTAACAGTGCAACCAGATTCTGTAAGTGTCTGAGAAGAGAAGGCTCAATGGTAGTATCAGGACAGCAGGATGCTGACCCACTCCTCCAGGCCTCAGCACATGGTGATGTGAAAGAAAGAGCAGCCCCTCTACTTGAAGGAGCCACCAAGAAGCAGTGTCCTTAAGTCATGTGTCAGCTGTGGTGAGGAGGGGCAGAGAGAATTCTGTGAAGTCTGGGAGGTTGTAGAGCTCTAATTGTGTGCAATTAGATGAGAGTTTTCTAGGGCAGAGGTTTGGCAGGAGGTTAGCAGTGAGAAAAGCCATCTGGCAGAAAAAGTACTTGGCAAGTTGTGATGGTTCACACATATTCACTGAGTCCTACAATGTGCCAGCCCCTGTGCTGGATTTTGGCTTGGTGATGCAATCATGCACAAATCAGTCTCAGCTCTGCCTTTGCAGGAGACTAAATTTAGATCTTCCGGGAGTATATGAACAAGAGGCTTAGAAAGATATGACTGGCCTCGTGCTTCTCAAAGTGTACTGTAGTGGATTTCCTCTGAGAGTAGACTATAAGATTTTTGAAATCTTTACTGAGTTATAGAAAAGAGTGAAAGACTTAAAAGCTAGGATTTCAATTTGCCTTTGGGTGCTTCAGCTTGTAGGTGCTATGTAGGTGAATATAAAACCTACCTACACAATTTTTGAAAGGTAAATATTTTACTTTACTTTCCCTCCTCCAGTGCTTTGAAGCACTAAGAGAGTCAGATGATCTGAATTAGTTTTAGGCAGGCAAGAATGGAGTTTAAATGTCCATTGAAAAAGACCTTATTGATTATGTTTCTTTGGGCTACAAAAATTAGGTTCACATTGTTGGAGCAAAATACTCAGCTATAAGATCCTTCAGCTATATTTTATTCCTCCTTGTATTTGCAGGATCCGAAATGTCATTGGCAATTTATAAATATCTATAGATTAAAGAAGTGAATCTTACAAGGATTCGGTAAGTGGGTGGGGTAAAAGGTAGGATGTCTACTAGGAGGGCAGAGATGTCAGTGTAAGAAGGGCAGTAATCAGGGACAACCTCACTAATATAAATTAGAGTCAATATGAATCGAAGTTCCTTCTTGGCCCTTCTCATGTTCAGTGATTGAATGAAAAATAAATATTCTTACTCTCCTAATTTGTACCTTTATCTCTCTATTAACTGCTGCTCCCTTCGCTACATAAAATAACCAAATTACTCAGCTTGGTAAAGGTTCCAGATCATCATGTGACTGGGCTATGTTAAGGGTCTGGTCAGTTGGAACCATCCTTATTTGGATAAGGTAGTACCAATAGTGTTTGGGAATTTGCAGTAGACTCAGGGAGGCTGCAGCTCCCATTCATGGGTGATGGAGGATGGAAGATATCGTCACAGTGAATGAAGACAAATAGGGATGTGGCATTTGTCAAGGTCCAGCAAAGGCAGAAACAGTTTTACCTTGATGTATTTAATAAGTGCCAATCTCTTAATTTCCTAACTCATCTATGCCGTTACTGTGTATCTGTGAATGCAAAGACTACAACAACCATTATCAGAAGGACACATATTTTGAGTTATTTTTCCAGTGGCAATGACTCTTTGTAGAAATCAGTATAGAGAACATATATGCCCATTTCATGGGATTTGAAGCATAATTTTTACTGTTTTCATTTATCAGGGAGGTTAATAGTCATTATATCTTTTACTTTTCTGACATACAATTTGTCTTCTTATATGTGGCTTTTTTTATGCAAAACTTTTCTTCAGGGACAAAATTCCCTATTATGACATATGGGAAAACATATTCTGTTTCCCCTTTGTAATGTTGTGCTTTATGTTCAATTTCCAAGGGCAGAAATGGCAAAAGACGTCTGGATAATTAAAACCAAAAGATAAACTAATTTGGCTGCAACTTAGATAACTCTTTCAGACCTTTCTTCTACTTAGTAAACATATTATAATCAATATGCTATTTCTTAATCGTTTTCCACTGTTTAGCTCCAGGCAGAAATGCAGAAAACACCAACAATATTTTGGGTGATTTAAATGCTTGAAGTCATGTTCTTCAACTTACTAGTGCATAAAAGTCACCTGGGAAACTTGTGAAAAACTGTAGATTCATAATCTACAGTTCACAATGTGACCTGGGAAAATGCATTTTAATAAACATCCCAGTTGAGTCTGACACAGTTGATCTTAGGTACCATATTGAGGAATGTGGTTAAGGGAATGTGAATACTTACATGGTCAATGAACCACAAGCAGAAAGCAGGAGAGATCCATTCTCTGGCATGGATTCCACAGTCAATCCATATGGCATTTTTGGCTGTTTGTTCTTTTCCAGAAACCTGCTCAAAAAAACCCCCAAAAGTAGCAAAAATGATAACAATAAGCATCAGGATAGTAACTTTCATTTATATAGTGCTTATATTTAATAGCATCAGCAAATCTCTGAGATACACATTGTTCTGCATTTCTTTGAAAATTATCAAGGGAAATTTAAACACTGGTGAGATTAAGGGACATTAGATAAGATAGCAAAACTGGTGTGAATTGAAACTGAAGTTTGAGGCCAGGACTCTTTTTCCTACAAATTTGCAGTCATGTCTGTGGGAAGAAAGTTGCCCAGGTGCCATGGCAAGAGACTGAAGGCACAATCTGTCCCAGCATAATAAATAACTGATTACTTAGATGTAGCAATGATACCAAATAGATGTACAGATTACTTCCTTATAGCAATAATATATTTACTGATTACTTAGTTATAGAAATGACACCAAATAGATATTAGATTCAATCACATAATCAATTATATAATCAATCTTATTATATCATTCTCTATTAATCTTGGCTTTAGTGTAGGAACCTTTTAGTCTTATAGTATAGACATGATCAGGTGAAATATAATTTGGAACTGAAGGGACATTGTGAGAAGTGATCAGGAGGCAAGAATAAGGCACCCATTACTTAGCAGGCTGTGAGGGGGAGTTTTCCTCTCACTGGGGAGTTAAGAGAAAACTCTGCTTTGCTGGCTCTTGAGGAAGGTCTGACACTAGCCAGGCCAGCCCGCAGACATCCAGGGACTTAAACACCTCTCCGTGGTGCTGTGCTCTGATGGTCACCATCCTTGTTCACCTTCATGTTCCACTTTCCCACCCAATGCTCCCTTGTAAATTCTAAGAGGCTGTGAGCAGTAAGAATAGAGGAATCCTAAAAGCCTTTGATCTCTCTGATAAGTGCATAGAAAGATACTGACGTATATGCCTTCCCTCTTTGCAGTGGCTACCTGAGAAGGAGGGGCCCTCTGTACTATACCCATGTAGCCCCCTGAACTGTACCCACGTGGCCCCCCGTATTGTAAGAATGTGATTTGCTTGACCCCTACCAATCACGTCAGATGAGTCAGTCTCCAACCCTGCGCCCCTGCCTATATACAATAAATATCAGCATGTCCAGGCATTCGGGGCCACTGCTAGACTCTGCCCTTCTGGTAGCAGTGGTTCTCTGAGTCCAGCTGAATTCTTCGCTCATCTCTGTGTCCTTGTCTCTTTCTTTTCTACAGTCTATCATCTCCTCACGCAAAAGAACACCCACTACACCCTGCGGGGCTAGACCCAGCACATGTCAGAGCTGCATGTGGAAGTTTAGAAGTAGAGACCAGAGAACTAATGCTTTGGGGTGTATCTTCATGCTTCATTTCGAGGTAAATGGGTGTGAGTTGGACGGCAGCCTTCCCCAGGAGGTGAGGAGACACGCCAGGAGCAGAAACTCCTTCATCATTTTCCTCTGAGTGCATTTTATTTATTTATTTTGGTGTAGATTATTTTTTTATTCCACACAAAAAGAAGCACACCTCTAACTTCTCACAAACTGATTACCAGCAAATCCAGAGACAGAGGCTTTATTTCTAGTGTGGTGGGCTAATATAAGCTGCTAACCCTGGAATAAGAATTGTCAACATTCCTCAATGATAGCCTTTGATCTCTTTAGAAGAATTATAAACACCTCCAAAATTAATCTTAATGCCTTTAAAAGTCAGCTACAACACAATTTAGGGTATAGCACAGTGGTCCCCAACCTTTTTGGCACCAGGGACCAGTTTCATGGAAGACAATTTTTCCGTGGTTGAGACAGAGGTGGGGTGGAATCAAGGGTTTAGGGATAAGACTCTTCCACCTCAGATCATCAGGCATTAGATTCTCATAAGGAGTGTGCAACCTAGATCCTTTGCATGCGTGGTTCACAATAGGATTTGTGCTCCTATGAGAATCTAATGCTGCTGCTGATCTGACGGAGACATTGCTCAAGTGGTAATGCTTGCTCACTGGCCACTCAACTCCTGTTGTGTGGCCTCATTCCTAACAGGCCATGGACTGGTACCTGTCTGCAGCTCAGGGGTTGGGAACCACTAGTATAGAGGGAGAAGAGTGTTGTAAAATGAAACAAATATGTAGACTTGCAATTCCAAAACAAGAAAAAGAAAGACATATTTAGATTGCTATCTGCACCACTCTAGGAGATTTTTTCCTAACTTGGAGCTAGCAATATTAACAAGATAGTAAGTGAGAAAGCCCAATGGCATTGACCATTAGTGATTAAATTGTATAGTCAAAGAAAATTACCTAGCTTATTCAACTCAATGTAAAGAAAATCCTAAGTTGTCTGCATTCGTTACTTTACTTGACCTTTCTAAGTCCTAGACCAATTTTCTTGGCACTGGTTCTGACACCAAAAAGTTGGCAAAATCCCAGAGACTCACATTATAAGCACATCCTTGATCAAGTAAGAGTGGGACCAAACCATCCAGAATGCATGATTTTTCAACATGTACAGGTTCCAGATATGTATGTTCCAAGTACTACATACAGCATGGCTGAAAGGAAATGTAATAGGTGGATATGCCATGATACATAGATCCAATCTGACTGACCAACTCAATGACCAGGAGGACCCAACATTTCATATGTCTGCCTTGAGTTTGCACTGCAAGTTCTTACAAATGACAGATTAAAATTGAGAAGTTCTAACCCAAAGTCTTATCTTTGAATGAATGAAGAGGCTCACTTATCACAATTTAGATGATGGGATACTGTGCATAAATTGTATGTTACTAAATCAAATGTACATTTTTAGTGACTACATTTTTTTTCCAGAGCTGCTTTTTAATTTTTTTAAGAGAGAGAGAGAGGTAGAAAACAGAACTATAAAATTGTTTTCTAGTTCTGAAAACAATTGGCTGTGGCTGTGTCCACTGACCTTTACTAAGGTCAATTTATTCAAGAGAGAAGACTTCCAATCCAGGTAGGTTAATCAACTTCTCTTCCATAACATTTTGCAACTGAAAATAAATAACCAAATGGGTGGCAATTGGAGCAGAAACCATCTTCTTTACCCTACTGCATGGGACTTCAGCCTTCTCCTGCTGTTTGTCCTTCACTAGGATTTGTTGTTCAGTTCTTACTTTGGTTTTAAAAGCTGTACCAGGAAATACTAACCAGAGCAAACAGGTAAGAGAAAGAAATAAGAGTCATATAAATTGGAAGGGAGAAATCAAATTATTCTTGATTGTAGATGACATGATCTTATATTTAGAAAAACCTAGTCTCCACCAAAAACCTGTTAGAACTGATAAATTCAGTAAAATTGCAGGTTATAAAATCAACACACAAAATCAGTAGTATTTATATACAATAATAGCAAGCAACCTGAAAGGAAATCAAAAAAGAAATACCATTTAACAATGACCAAAAAAAAAAAACCTGGAATAAATCTAACCAAAGAAGCAAAAGACCTACAATGAAGATAATAAAGTGCTGATGAAAGAAATTAAAGAGAACACACACAAAAAAATGAAGATACCTCATGTTCACAGGTTTAAGAACTAATATTGTCAAAATGTTCATACTACCCAATGTAATCTGCAGATTTAGTGCAATTCCTGTCAATACCAATTCACTTTTCATAGAAGGAGAAAAAAAATTCTAAAATTCATATGGAGCCACAGAAGATCTTGAAAAGCCAAAGTAATGCTGTACAGAAAGAGCAAAGCTATAGTACTAAAACAGCATGGTACTGACATAAAAGCAGACACATAGACCAGTAGATTAGAATAGAGAACCCGGAAATAAATCCACAGATTTACAGTCAACTCATTTTCAACAAAGACACCAAGAACATACATTGAGAAAAGGGTACTCTTGTCAATAAATGGTGCTGGGATAATTTTTATTCGTAAAATTCAAACTAAATCCCTACCTCTCACTACATATATTAAATCAACTAAAAACAGATTAGACTTAAATGTAAGACCTAAAACTATAAAACTACTAGAAGAAAACATTGGGAAAACAATTCAGGACATTGGTCTCAGCAAAGGTTTTTTGGGTAAGACTTCGAAAGCACAGTCAACAGAAGCAAAAATAGATAAAGCATATTACATCAAGCTGAAAACTTTCTTCTGCACAGCAAAAGAAACAACATAGTGAAAATTAAAATATGGGAGAAAATATGTGCAAACTATCCATCCAACAAGGACTTAGTAACCAGAATATATAAGGAACTCAAACAATTCAAAAGGAAAAAAATAAATAATCCAATTTTTAAAATGAGAAATGATTCTGAATATACATTTCTCAAAAGAAGACACACAAATGGCCAACAGATATATGAAAAAATGCTCAACATCACTAATGATCAGGGAAATGTGAATTAAAACCACAATGCAATATCATTTCATCCCAGTTTAAATGGCTTTTATCCGAAAGACAGGCAATTACCAATGCTGGAGAGGATGTGGAGAAAGGGGAACGCTTGTACACTGTTGGTAGGAATGTAAATTAGTACCGCCACCACGAAAAACTGTGTCCTGAGACTTTGTTGAAATTGCTTATCAGCTTAAGGAGATTTGGGGCTGAGACGATGGGGTTTTCTAAATATACAATCATGTCATCTACAGAGACAATTTGACTTCCTCTCTTTCTATTTGAATGTCCTTTTTTTTTTTCTCTTGCCTAATTGCCCTGGCCAGAACTTCCAATACTATTTGAATAGAAGTGGTGAGAGAGGGCATCCTTGTTTCGTGCCTGTTTCAATGAACACTATTTCAAAGGTTTTCAAAGGGAACGCTTCCAGTTTTTGCCCATTCAGTATGATATTCGCTGTGGGTTGGTCATAAAGAGCTCTTATTATTTTGAGATATGTTCCATCGATACCTAGTTTATTGAGAGTTTTTAGCATGGAGTGGTGTTGAATTTTATCAAAGGCCTCTTCCGCATCTATTGAGATAATCATGTGGTTTTTGTCATTAGCTCTGTTTATGTGAAAGATTACGTTTATTGATTTGCATATGTAAACCAGCCTCATGTGCTCAGGATGAAGCCAACTTGATTGTGGCGGATAAGCTTTTTGATGTGCAGCTGGATTTGGTTTGCCAGTATTTTATTGAAGGATATTTGCATCAGTGTTCATCAGGGATGTTGCTCTGAAATTTTCTCTTTTTGTTATGTCTCTGCCAAGTTTTGGTATCAGGATGATGCTGGCCTCATAAAATCAGTTAGGGAGTAGTCCCTGTTTTTCTGTTTTTTGGAATTGTTACAGAAGGAATGGTACCAGCTCCTCTTTGTACCTCTAGTAGAATTTGGCTGTGAATCCATCTGGTCCTGAGCTTTTTTTGGTTGGTAGGCTATTAATTACTGCCTCGATTTCAGAACTTGTTATTGGTCTATTCAGGGATTTGACTTATTGGTTTAGTCTTGGGAGGATGTATGTGTCTAGGAATGTATCCATTTCTTCTAAGTTTTCTAGTTTATTTGCATAGAGGTGTTTATAGTAGGCTCTGATGGTAGTTTGTATTTCTGTGGGATCAGTGGTGATCTCCCCTTTATCAGTTTTTATTGTGTTTATTTGATTCTTCTCTCTTTTCTTCTTTATTAGTCTGGCTAGTAGTCTATCTATTTTGTTAATCTTTTCAAGAAACCAGCTTCCTGGATTCATTGATTTTTTGAAGGAGTTTTCTTTTTTCTATCTCCTTCAGTTCTGCTTTGATCTAAGTTATTTCTTGTATTCTGCTAGTTTTGGAATTTGTTTGCTCTTGCTTCTGCAGTTCCTTTAATTGTGATGTTACAATGTTGATTTTAGCTCTTTCCTGCTTTCTCCTGTGGGCATTTAGTGCTATAAATTTCCCTCTAAACACTGCTTTAGCTGTGTCCCAGAGATTCTGATACATTGTATCTTTGTTCTTATTGGTTTCAAAGAACTTATTTATTTCTGCCATTAATTTTGTTATTTACCAAGTAGTCATTCAGAGCAAGTGGTTCAGTTTAAAATCAGTGTGCAAAAATCACTAGCATTCCTATACACCAATAATAGACAGAGAGTCAAATCATAAGTGAACTCCCATTCACAATTGCTATAAAGAGAATACAATACCTAGGAATACAACTTACAAGGGATGTGAAGGACTTCTTCAAGGAGGACTACAAACCACTGCTCAAGGAAATAAGAGAGGACACAAACAAATGGAAAAATATTGCATGCTCGTGGATAGGAAGAATCAATATTGTGAAAATGGCCATACTGTCCAAAGTAACGTAGATTCAGTGCTATGCCCATCAAACCACCATTGGTTTTCTTCATAGAATTAGAAAAAAACTATTTAAAATTTTATATGGAACCAAAAAAGAGCCCACATAGCCAAGACAATCCTAAACAAAAAGAATAAAGCTGGAAGCATCACGCTACCTGACTTCAACCTATACTACAAGCCGACGGTAACCAAAACAGCATGGTACTGGCACCAAAACAGGAATATAGACCAATGGAAACGAACAGAGGCCTCAGAAATAATGCCACATATCTACAACCACCTGATCTTTGACAAACCTGACAAAATCAAGCAGTGGGGAAAGGATTCCCTATTTAATAAATGGTATTGGGAAAACTGGCTAGCCATATGCAGAAAACTGAAATTGGACCCCTTCCTTATACCATATACCTTATACAAAAATTAACTCAAGATGGATTGAAGACTTAAATGTAAGACCTAAAACCATAAAAACCCTGGAAGAAAACCTAGGCAATACTATTCAAGATATATGCATGGCCAAAGACATCATGACTAAAACACCAAAAGCAATGGCAATAAAAGGCAAAATTGACAAATGGGATCTAATTAAACTAAGGAGCTTCTGCACAGCAAAAGAAACTACCATCAGAGTGAACAGGCAACCTACATAATGGGAGAAAACTTTTGCAATCTATCCATCTGACAAAGGGCTAATATGCAGAATCTACAAGGAAATTTACAAGAAAAAAACCAAACGGCCCCATCAAAAAGTGGGAAAAGGATATGAACAGACACTTCTCAAAAAAAAAAGACATTTATGCATCCAACAAACATGAAAAAAAGCTCATCATCACTGGTCTTTAGAGAAATGAAATCGAAACCACATTGAGATACTATCTCATGTTAGAATGGCAATCATTAAAAAGTCAGTAAACAACAGATGCTGGAGAGGCTGTGGAGAAATAGGGATACTTTTACACTGTTGGTGGGAGTGTAAATTAGTTCAACTATTGTGCAAGACAGTGTGGTGATTCCTCAAGGATCTAGAAATAGAAAATTCCATTTGACCCAGCAATCCCATTACTAGATATATACCCAAAGGATTATAAATCATGCTACTATAAAGACACAGCACACATATGTTTATTGTGGCACTTTTCACAATAGCAAAGACTTGGAACCAACCCAAATACCCATCAATGATAGATTGGATAAAGAAAATGTGGCACATATACACCATGGAATACTATACAGCCACAAAAAGATGAGTTCATATACTTTGTAGGGAGATGGATGAAGCTTGAAACCATCATTCTCAGCAAACTAACACAGGAACAGAAAACCAAACACCGCATGTTCTCACTTATAAGTGGGAGATGAACAATGAGAACACACAGACACAGAGAGGGGAACATCACATACTGGGGCCTGTCAGGGGTGGGGGGCTAGGGGAGGAATAGCATTAAGGGAAATACCTAATGTAGATGACGGGTTGATGGGTGCAGCAAACCACCATGGCATGTGTGTACCTATGTAACAAACCTGCACATTCTGCACTTGTATCCTAGAACTTAAGGTACAATTTAAAAAAAAAAAAGAAAGAAAAACAGTGTGGAGTTTCCTCAGAAAACTAAAAATGTAACTACCATATAAGCCAGCAGTCCTACTATTGAGTATGAATTGAAAAGAAAGGAAATCACTATACAAAAGAGATATCTGCACTCCCATGTTCATTAACGCACTGTTCGCAATAGTCAAGATATAGAATCAACCTAAGTGTTCATCAAGAGATGAATGGATTAACAAAAGGTGGTACATCTACACATGGAATATTATTCAGCCATAAAAAGAGCAAAATCCTATCATTTGCAGCAACATGGATGGAACTGGAGGTCATTATGTTAAGTGAAATAAGCTATGCACAGAAAGACAAATATCACATGTTCTCTCTGATATGGGGTGTGGAAAAGTTGATTTTATAGAGGTAGAGAGTAGAATGGTGATTACCACAGGGTGGAAAGGGGGATAAAGAGAGGTTGGTTAGTGGGTACAAAAATATAGTTAGGTAGAAGGAATAAGTTCTAGTGTGTAGTAGCACAGTAGGATGACTAGAGTCAACAATAATTTATTGTATATTTCAAAATAGAAGACGGACTTGAAATGTTCCCAACACAAAGAAATGATAAATGTTTGAGGTGATGGCTACTCCAAATACCCTGATTTGATCATTACACATTGTATGCATGTATCAAAATATCACATGTGGGGATGGAGGGAGAAAAAAAATCACATGTACCCCAGAAACATGTACAATGATTATATATCAATTTTTAGAAATTAGCAACAAAAAGCTGCACCAGTGCTTATCCACTAACATAAAATAAAACAGGGATTTAAAAAAATAAGCATCTCCCAGCACTTTGGGAGGCAGAGGCGGGTGGATCACGAGGTCAAGAGATCAAGACCATCCTGGTCAACATGGTGAAACCCCATCTCTACTAAAAAATCAGCTGGGCATGGTGGCGCGTGCCTATAATCCCAGCTACTCTGGAGGCTGAGGCAGGAGAATTGCCTGAACCCAGGAGGCGGAGGTTGCGGTGACTATCCTTTTCTCAATGTGTGTTCTTGGTGTCTTTGTTGAAAATGAGTTGACTGTAAATCTGTGGATTTATTTCCGGGTTCTCTATTCTAATCTACTGGTCTATGTGTCTGCTTTTATGTCAGTACCATGCTGTTTTAGTACTGTAGCTTTGCTCTTTCTGTACAGCATTACTTTGGCTTTTCAAGATCTTCTGTGGCTCCATATGAATTTGCACTCCAGCCTGGGTAACAAGAGCGAAACTCCGTCTCAAAAAAATAATAATAATAAAATAAAATAAATAAACATCACTTCCTTCATTTTATGGAAATGTTAAATGGCTTATCTGATGTCACATAAGGAGCGACAGATTTAATTCTAGAACTGGGGTTCATCTAGAACTGAAGCCTTAACCCCTCCAGACTGTATTTGTACATAAGGCCTTTAAAGAGGTAATTAAGTTAACATGAGGCCCTTAGCCTGGGTGCTAATCCAGTCTGGCCGGTGTCCTTGTAGGAAGAGATTAGGACATGCAGACCAGGACAAGACTGTATTATTAATGGGAAAAACTTTAAAGGAAATAATCAACTCCTAAATAGCCAGATATTAAAGTTGAGGAACACTTGTAATGCAAATATTTTCAGAACTCAAAGAAAAGAAATTCAAGTTTTAACAAGCACCACTGGAGAATTAATCCCGCCCCTCACACTGAAAGATCCACGACTTTCCCCACAACATACCTTTAAAACATAAAGTGGATGCTTCTCATATGAGGATCCAATGTGGATTTTTTTAAGCATACCAGGATGCCTCTCAGTTATAAGTTCTATCCAAGAATAGATCTAGCAAAATGGAAACCAGAGATTAGTCACGAAACAAGTTCAAAGCATTTCCCTGACCTGAGGAAGCAGACAACTTCTTCAGAGAAAGGAAATTCCTGTAAAATTCTGTATGTGGAATGCATGAGGAGCTAAAGCACTTGGGCAGGGTGTTTCTTCTGCTGTTTAGGGAAATTGATAAAATTAAAGTTTTGATAAGTGTCAAGGTTTTGAGAAAGAGTGAAAAAGTGCTAAGAAACTTATAACAAGGTTAAAAAAAAAAAGTTAATCTTTAAACTATGGCCCCTGAAAGTTATTTTTAAAGTCATCACATTGAATTACTGCCCCTGTGTATGAAATTCTCATTATCATTCTTTCAAAAGTTCACTTTTATTTGGAACGTTTTTTGAAATGCCCTTTTCAAGATGAAGGGAGCCCTGAGCACCATCTTTACGCAGGATAAATGGAAGACCTGCACAAGCACAGTGAGACTGACAGAATGATGAGAGGCAAAGATGGGGGCGATCTGGAGGAAAAACAGACAAACCCAGTTCTCCCCCCAAGAAGTAGTTTGATTCTGGACCTCTCTCTTGGGTGGAAGTCCAGTTGTATTTGAGGTTTGTCAAGATAACAGAAGGAAAAAGGAAAAAAAAAATCTGACTTTAGGTGAGCACCCACTTCAAAGCAAGTGTTGAATTATTGTCTGGTTTGGGGTTGCTGGGATTGAATGGGGTTATGTTTTAACGTGGACCAGCTTTCCAGGGTCCATTCTTAAACTCTGATACTTTCTGAATTGGAAACAATTAATGCTTGACTTTATCTCTGGGAACTTTTCTAGAGGTGATTTCCAATAGCAATCCTAGCTGGTAAAAACTGGAGCGCCATTTATCTTTGGGTTCTCTGAGATAGCATAACCAGCATGAGTGGTAGGTGTGGGTGGTTGTCCCCGTGCTGAGAATTAAGGGCTCCTGGAAGGCCCACCTGCCATCAAGTACCGACCCTATCAGTGTCTGGGGTGTCAGAAATGTAACCATCAGCAATTTCCTCATCAAAACTCCATTTTCCGTGTTACTCCTCTAGGCATAAATACATCTGAGAAAGCTACCACAAAAAATTAATGTATGCATTGATACTTCAGCAGATTTCCTCTAACAGAGGAGGATGAGTAATATGAAAGCAGTTTAACTTTATTCATTTATCAAACTAAGCTGATATAATAACATAACATCTTTTGAAGAACTCTTTTCTTTTCCCGTTTCTTCTAAGAAGTAATTTTTGGCCATATGTTTCTTTCTCCCTACACCAGTTTATTTAAGGTCTCCTGGTGTGAGTCAATGACAAAATAACCTCTGCTGCCCACCAGGCCATTTTGTAGGGAGGGCTGATGGATAGACCATTGATTCAAGGGAGAGAAGCACTTAGAGGAATGTTCTGAGAGCAAAATTGTTACGGTTCCTATGAACCGCTTAGAAAATAATAGGGGCGGGGGTGGAGAGAGAAGTACAAGATATTTTCTAGAGTGTCATAGTTAAGAATTAAATTTTGTACCCCTTTCCCCAGTTCATGTGTTGAATCCCTAACTCCCAGTAGGTTAGAAAGTGACTGTATTTGGAGACAGGGCCTTTAAAGAGATGATCTAATCAACATGAGGCCCTTAGAGTGGGCACTAATCCAATCTGACTGGTGTCCTTACAGGAAGAGGGGATTAGGATATACAGAGACGGACACCAGGGATGCACATGCACAAACAAAAGGCCATATGAGGCTGGACGTGGTGGCTCATGCCTGTAATCCCAGCACATTGGGAGGCCGAGGTGGGCAGATCACTTGAGCTCAGGAGTTCAAGACCAGCCTGGCCAACATGGTGAAATCCTCTCTATTAAAAATACAAAAAATTAGCTGGGCATGGTGGCATGTGCCTCTAAGTTCCAGCTACTTTGGAGGCTGAAGCAGGAGAATTGCTTGAACCCAGGAGGCAGACAGGTTGCCATTGCACTCCAGCCTGGGTGACAGACTGAGACTCTGTCTCAAAAAACAAAAACAAAAACAAAAAAAAAGGAAAGAAATGGCCATCTGAGGAATGAAACACTGTGAGATGGCAACTACCTACAAGCTGAGTAAAGAGGCCTCAGTAGAAACCAAACCTACTGACATCTTGATCTTCTAGCCTCTAGAATCATGAGAAAATAAATTTCTGTGATTTCAGCTACACAGTCTGTGGTATTTCATTATCATAGCCCTAGCAAACTAATAGAGCCATGTGCTTATTTTGTCATTCTGTGTCATTCCAACTTTTTCCTGAAGATATGGTAAGAAAACAACTTTTTTGAAGAAAATAATTAAAATATGATTTACAGACATTTAAAAATACTTCTGTTTATGGTATTACTCTCTCCCCACCAAACTTATCACAGCAGTGACAGTTTCACCTGCTGTATTTTGCAAATCCCACCTATGGAGGCTGGCTGCATCAAGTTTGCTCATGCAGTCCTGCTGATGGATGCTGGAGAGAGGTGGTCTAAGTTGTATAAATATAGGAGAGATTTTTAAAAAGGGGGTGCAATTGTAAGACCTCCTTAATCTATCAGGCACACATTCTAGAAGCATATTTTCTGGCTTAATTAACTGGGAAGGAACAGATGCTTTTTAAAGATTATATACATAAAATTGATTCTCATTACCTAAATCTTAGATGTCTTAAAAATAGGATATGGTCCCTAATAGTTTCTGGGCACCTAGTCAAAGATGACAAAAATAGTTATGTTAGGCAATATAGCAGCATACTCTTATAAAAGGGTATCAAGGTATTTTTACTGCTTGGAGAATACCATATAAAAAAGAAAGTCCTGCAAGGAATTTATTCTTTCAACTGACAAATATAGGGAAATGGCTTTTAGTAGATTACGTGAAAGCTTGATGAGGTCTCACCTGTACATCAACATCTTACTCAAGTTCCCTCTAGAAGGAGTGGAACCTGTAAGTACTAAGAGAAAAATATATCCAACTTCTTAAAGATTAAAACACAGGCATTGTTATTATTATTATTAGTTTAAATAGCTTCCTTCTAAGAGGAATAAAATATAATTAGTTATAATGTATTAAATATAAGTGAATACATTCCTTTAATTAAGTGAGCTAATCTGGCAATTAGTAATAGTAAAATTAGGGTAATGGTGCAAAGAGACATGATTAACTAGACTGGTAATTTTTTGGTGGCAGTTTTAATGAAAAGCCCCTATTCTTTAGTTTCTGTTGTTCCATAGCATAAAGTGTTACTCCCAGCAGTTAGAGATACTCTCAGCTGTAGGCAAACATCCTACAGCTTACCAAATATGATATAATCTTCCCAGGGAAGATATCTACCAAAAAAATGAATGACCATCATGTAATTAACCTACGTGTGATTTTTTTTTACCATCCTCCACCAATTATGATTCTTGGATATTCCCCTGGTTGAAATGGCAATGCTGATTAAATGAAAATTGTAGCTCTGAAGAGCTGTGTGATGGCTTACTTCATTTAGTGAGTGATACCGTTCATAGTACGATGTGGAGGCTCGGGGGCTGACTGTGTCGTTGGAAATCTGCTGTTGAATAAGATCTTCCACATCTGCCAGCAAGACACTATGTGATGAAACAGAGAGTGAGGTAGTTTCCAAGCAGGGGATGGACCTTCCCACATGGCCCATTACAGGCACAGCATGAAAAAAAAAATCACTAAGAATCCTAATAAACATTTCATCAAAGTAAAAGCACGACATCTCACACTGTGATCAACTGATGGACAAACCCTGTCAGAAGAGCCCACATGGGCACTAGAGAAAAAGCAGCTCTTATGAGGTGTATTTTTGGGACCTCCAAAACAACCACCCTTTCCCACCATGACCAACATTACTCAATAGTGATTCTTGTGTCTTTTATATGAACATATGGATTAATGTGCCTTTCTTCAATTCAGAATAACACTGTATTATACTGTTTTCAGTTAAAGAGGAAGAAGCAGCAGAAAAGCTTTTTCTCCCCCCTCCCCCACCCCCACACTGACCTGCACCAGATGTTCTGCAGAACCAAAGAAACAGAACAGGAAAAGGGAAGTACAGGAAAGGCATCTCATTCCATTTCTCTTCAGAGTACCACATTTGTTACCCAGGCAAATATTTTAACTGAATTAAGGCATTCTGTCACCTGAGATAGACAAGTTGAAAGCTAGCTGTCATACTAATAAAGAGTTCTTTACTTTTATTTAGGACAATAAATAAAAGCCACAGCGTTGACATCAGAAAGATCTAGGCCCAACTCCTAACTCTGCCATGTTCTTTCTGATTTACCCTGAAAAATTCCTTAATAAGTCAGGATAATTTTTCATCTATATCATGGGGATTGCATCTACTTCACAAGGTTAAATAAAGATTAATTGATACAATGTCAATTAATAGAAAGGTTCAGCACAGTTCCTGGAAAACACTACATACCTATAGTATGCTCTATAATACATTACTAATAATTAACATAGCATATTATCCAGAGGCCACCCATTGATACACAAAAAAGAGCCTCGTCTCAAGGAAGGGGCCAGGCCACCAGGAAGGTACTGGCAGTTGGGGAGTGGAAATGGAGAGGAGATATTGGACAGGAAACTCCATGAGGAAGAAGGCAAGACTCTGAGCAGAAATTGCACCTGATATACTTTTTAAGAAAAGGAAATCATTTATAACCTATAGGGTATGTGCTGTTTCTACACTTAATTTACAAAACTTGGAAACAGAGAAGTGAACAATTCCTCCAGGGTCATATAGGTGGTAAGCAGCAGCGCCAGACTCTAACCAGGGATCCTGCAGAGTCCAACCACCTGTTACACTTTTTAAAAGCCAGACATTCAGAAATGGTCACTGTGTTTGTGAAGAAGAATTGGCAGAAGCTAAATCCCCTCCAGCAGCTGCTTTTTCAGAATATATCACAAAGCCTACCAAGGCAAATGGCAATTTTGCTTCCTGAGTCTGGGTACAGAGTCATCAGAGAAAAAGGAACTCTGAGAGACTTTACCAATCATTGAGTCTAACCTGCATTTTAGATAAGGGACCAAGGTCATGAGGGGTTAAACCACTTAGCAAAGATCACAGAGCTGGACCTTGGGCTTTATTACCAGTCCATTAAGTGCAGTCAGAGACTTCTATGCTGCCATGGTTAATACATTTTATTTTTCCAGGAAGCAGTTATACCATACCCTGGTCAAATGCAGCTACTCAATATGTATTGAATGGTGCCTACCTGGATGGAATTCCGCTCTCATTTAAATGGGTTTTCACATTGTCTACATCAGATGCATTTACAAAAAACTGGACTTGTTTTTTCTTCTCAATAAGTTCAGCTATTACTGGTTGCCAGAGAACAATCTATAGTTTAAGGGACAAAATTGATAAAGTTAAAAAAGAGTTGTTCATATCATTCTCATCTGTAGCTAGAGCCATGAAAGTTGTATCTATAAGGAGCATGAAAAGGACACTCACTGGCGCTGGTACCCATCCACACACATGGTAAACACTTATTTTGCAGTAAGCTTTTAAAATTCCTTTTTATAACTCTAGTTGCTAAAAAAAAGTCCCTGGAACATACAACATAACCAATAAATATTTGATGAGACAATGAATGAATGACAATATTCATGACTTAGTTATAAAATTGGACATGTACATTAGATACTTGAAAGAGAAACGAAATTTTGTCTAGGAAGAAAGTTGATTAAACATTGATTTTATTTAATAAAAGTGTCATGTTCTTATAATTATCATCATGTCTTTGTTCTTTTTTTAAAAAAAAATCTAATTATGGACTTTGGGCAATGGCTTTCAATAAAATTTATATTCTTTCTCTCCATATACTTTTTCAAAGCACTTTCATACTCATATCCTCTGATAATTATAACACTTTGATATAAACTAGGCAGGTGTTATTTTTTGCAATGTTCAGGTGAAGAATAAGGCTCATAGCTAACTTCTAAAATCATACACCTAGGAGTGACAGACATGAACTAAAATTCTAAATCTCAGTTGCTTCCTCTTGTAGTATTTCCTCTTTACCATGATGTGGTGGTCGTGAATATGCACCACTCAGCTTTTCTGTTGAGAAAGGCACAGTTGACTGGTGTTCCCAGTGGCTGCCGTGGGAACCTACCAGAAGCTGAGACCATGTGGTCTCAGGGCTGCAGCCATCCTGTAACTGAGCCCTGTGCAAGTGTTAATGCAGGCCCATTCTTGCCAGACATGGGGCTGCCATAACAGATGACTGGCTTAAGTCACCACTGAGACTGACCTAGCCCAGCCTTCATTGGAACTGCCCTTCAGTCTGAGATTCTCCACACAAAATCTTCCTTTCTGCAGAGGTGTCAGAGCTACATCATGGTCTGATGATGCTCTCTTGCCTTCTCCAGCTCCCGCCTCTATCCTCCAACAGCATTCCCCTCATCGCTTGCTCCCCTAGTCTGGTCTTGACCTCTGCTTCCCAGAAAGCACTAACAAACAAGGAGCCATACTTTTCTACCATGATATTGTTACGGGATCCCTGGGGTATCACTTCATCAGCAGAAACTTCTGTGGTCAGTGGTGCCTTTGCCTAAGTTTTGCTCAGGCCTGCTGAGCCCACTCAGCCTGGAAGGCTGCGCTTATCTCATGCTACTGGCTGGGATCCCATTTCTGCCAAGAGTGAGCAGAGTGGCAAGGGGTATGTGAGTGAGTGAGCATGGGGTCCAGCCACTGCACAGAGCCAGGCATGCTGGCTGTGGTAGGGCAGGCAGCTCCTGGTACCAGCATGGGCATCAGCTCCTTGCAAGGCTGTGGCTGGACCAGGTGTCCCGCAAGCAGCTTCCATGGCCAGCACCAGGGAACATGGTGATGCCCACAAGTTTGGAGGCATCAGGAACCACAGAGCCCCAAAGAGGGTGTCATAGCCCTGGCTTAGGGACCTCTTAGGTCTGAGCTCCCCAAAAGGCTGCAGTGCTTCTCTCCCTCTTGCGACCCACAATGTGGCAAGCATGGGGCGTGTTTTTTAGCCCTGTTCATGTTACAGCTCTTTCAGCTCCACCATTTGACAGGTTCAGAGTTCTTGTCCTGCATGCAGAAACAATGAGGTACGTGGACAAATGGAGGATGAGCAAGGTGAAGAGGAGCTTTCCTGAGTGATAGAACAGCTCAGAGGAGACTCACAGTGGGTGGCTCCTCTTAGCAGCCAGGGTGTCCTGACAAATGTTCAGCTCCAGGCAGAGAGGAGACCCTGGAGTGGGCAGCTCCTTTCTACAGCTGATCCTCCCCATGTCTCTCCAGAGTCTGGCTGAATCCAGGGGTTTTCATGGGCTTAGGATGGGAGGAACTATGTGTTGATTGGTTGATGTGTGGCCATGGGTGGGTGCCAAAAAAGCACCATAAGCTCCCACTGCGATCCACAGGACTGGCACCTGAGCCCCCAGGCTTCATGACTTCCAGGACTTGAAGGTGGGGCTTCCCCAGGGACCCACCCTTCCCTGCCTAGGAGCCTGTCTGCCTGCTACTGCTATTTATGGCACCCAGGCTTTTCGAGCTGAGGGGCTCCTGCGGGCCAGTGCTGAGATGGCCTCAGCAACCCCCTCAGCTTCCCTTCTGTGCTCATCAGTATCCAAAGTCCAGAGGGGGCTGGGGCGGCAGGGGGCTGGCATGTCAGTGCTGCCCTGAGCATGCACACAGCCAGCCGGGTTGTGACAGCACCTGGGTTCAGCCTCAACTTTGCTCCAAGATTGGAGTGAACACCAGGAGCTAGGAGAGGCCAGATGACGGCAGCAGGCACTCTTGAGCCTGTGCAGGAATGGGGGGCCTTCCCAGAACCCTAAAAGTGCAGAGATGCCTGGGTCTGCAAATCCTGCTGAGCTGCTGCAGCTGCACCCAGGAAGGCGGAGTTCCTGCCTGCTCTGGCCCCTAAGAGCACAGGAATGCCCAGGTCTGCAGCTGCAGCTGCACCTGGGGAGCATGAGGCTCCTACCCTGCCATCTCAGAAGGGGGTGGGACTTTCACCTCTTCCTGGCTTCTGTGGCTCCGCGGAGCACACAGCCCTGGCGGTGCCTCCCCAACTGCAGCTGGGGTCATGGCAGCAGCTGTTCTAGATGGGCTTCCACTGACATTAATATTCTGTAATTCTTGTCAGTTTTCCAAATCTTAGACATTAGATCAAGATGGGTCCTTCGGTGACCATTTTAATTAATATACCCTATGTTTCTGGTGCCTCCTTGGTTAAGAACCACTGTTTTATAAGTAAGGCTTTGTTTATAAATGTAATTTCTGCTACCATAGCATCTTTCTAAGTGCACACTTTCAATCCCAAAGTACTATTATAAAATTGGCTGGAAAGCCAATAGCACAAGTGGAGAGGTTTTGATTTGGGGAACCAACAAAGTCATGTGATTATGAGGGAGAGAAGGCTATGAGAAGAGTCCATACTAGATACATATAAGCCAGACAACAACAGGAGGGAACTCAACACCCAGTGCTTATACAAAATGAAACCAATGCAAACACAAAGTGGGAAAAAAATTACCTCGTATGTTGTAGTAAGATTCTGTAGAACTTGAACTTGCCTAGAGGTTCTAGGAAGAGCAGAGAGAACCTGGCCACTGGGGAAAAAAATAAAACAGGATTTTGATATGAAATAAAGAGTAACAATGGAATACATTATACTGTGAGGGGCTTTTAGGTAATTACAAAAGGAAAACAAAATTTAAAATATGATTAAGACACAGGATCTCACTACTGACTCAGAGTAAAAAGAGAACATATACTCTCAGTCTTTCTGCTCCTAAGCAATTGCAAAATCAACAGCTCTCTTGACTAGGGGTCAGTTTACAGAGTACTTACTTCTTTCTTTACTATTGTGCATGTGTGTGTGTGTTTTAATTTTAAAAATTAAATATTTGATGCAGAAGGGAACTTTTATGCTGATCCTAGGTTGTTGTATAATAAAATGAATGTCTGTGAACGCATCACCCCACTTAAAAAGTCCAACTTCCTTGGCAGCCTGAAGATTTTTATGTGTTCTTCTCTGCCCCACCCTCTTACCACATCCCCAAAGGTATCCTCTACCTTAAATTTTTACTTTTGCTCATTCCCTTGTTTTTCTTTATAGCATGGAGTTTTAAACACATGTATGTGTGGATTCTGAAACACTACCCTTAGATTTGCTTGATTCAACTTTATAAAAAGGTATACTATATATATATTCTTCTGAATCTTGTTTTTTCTTCAGTCAATATTGTATTCTGAAGATTATCATTTGTGTTGAAGTATCTAGCCGTAATTCACATGTGAAAGCATTTTCCTACAAGTGGAATTACCATTTCATGGGATATGCACAGTTTTAATTTCATAGGACAGTGTCATATCAGTCCTCAAGCTCTTTGTATCAATTTATATTATCGGTAGCAGCGGAAAAGATTTCCTATTTTTCTTCCTCCTTGCCAACACCAGATGCTCTCTGACTTTTTAACTTTTCCAATCAAATTGTTATGAAATGAAATCTTCTTGTGATTTTAATTTTCATTTTCTGACTTGTTAATGAAGTGGAGTTGTTTATATTTGATTATTGGCCATTCATATTTTTGCTTATGAGTCATGTTTATTCAGATCACTTGTCCATTTTTTTCTAATATACTTGTATTTTTGTAACAGTTCATTTGTATAATTTCTTTATATATTTTAAATACTAATTTCTTGTCAGTCATATGTATTGCAAATATTTTCTAGTAGTTTATAACTTGTCTTTTCTCTTTCCTGATGATGTGCTTTTTGGAAATCATTTCCTTCCAGGTGTGGGTTAAGATGTCTTTCTAAATACCTGGGATATAAAGATACTCTCATATATTTCTTCTGTCTTTCTTATTTACATATTTAATTCAATTGAAAATTATTTGGCAGTGTAAAGAAGAAATAGACTTCTTTTCTTCTCAGCATCATTTATTATTATGATGTTTTACATCACTAATATTTTCCCCAGGGATCCACTATGTCAATTTTGTCATATATCAAGTTTCCATACTATTTGGCAGAGAAAATACTGGTTCATCATATCAATGCCTCTTCCTGGGCACACAGAAAAACTACATTACCCAGTCTTCTGTGTGGCTGCATCGAGACCTGGTGCCTGAGCTTTTGCCAATGGGAATGCATGGGAGTGTTGTAGGTGCCTAAGAGTAGGTGTGTCTTCTCAAAAACCCAGCTCCTGGATTCACTGATTTTTTGAAGGGTTTTTTCTGGCTCATCTCCTTCAAGTCTGCTCTGCTCTTAGTTATTTATTGTCTTCTGCTAGCTTTTGAATTTGTTTGATCTCGCTCCTCTAGTTCTTTTAATTGTGACGTTAGGGTGTCAATTTTAAATCTTTACTCATTTCTTTTGTGGGCATTTAGTGCTATAAAGTTCCCTCTAAACACTGCTTTAGATGTGTCCCAGAGATTCTGGTACATTGTGTCTTCATTCTCATTGGTTTCAAAGAACATCTTTATTTCTGCCTTCATTTCATTATTTATCCAGTAGTCATTCAGGAGCAGGTTGTTCAGTTTCCATGTTATTTGTGTGGTATTGAGTGTTTCTTAATCCTGAGTTCTAATTTGATTGCATTGTGGTCTGAGAGGCTGTTATGATTTCTGTTCTTTTGCATTTGTTGAGGAGTGTTTTACTTCCAATTATGTGGTCAATTTTAGAATAAGTGCAATGTGGTGCTGAGAGGAATCTACATTCTTTTGATTTGGGGTGGAGAGTTCCGTAGATGGTCCAGATCTGACTTCAAGTCCTGAATATCCTTGTTAATTTTCTGTCTCATTGATCTGTCTAATATTGACAGAGAGGTGTTAAAGTCTCCCACTATTATTGTGTGGGAGTCTAAGTCTTTTTGTAGGTCATTAAGAACTTGCTTTATGTATCTGGGTGCTCCTGTATTGGGTGCATATATATTTAAGATAGTTAGCTCTTCTTGTTGCATTGATACGTTTACTATTATGTAATGCCCTTGTCTCCTTTGCTCTTTATTGTTTTAAAGTCTGTTAGCTCTTCTTGTTGCATTGATACCTTTACTATTATGTAATGCCCTTCTTTGTCTCTTTTGCTCTTTATTGTTTTAAAGTCTGTTTTATCAGAGACCAGGATTGCGACCCCTGTTTTTTTTTTTTTTTCTTTCCATTTGATTGGTAAATCTTCCTCCAGCCATTTATTTTGAGCGTTTGTGTGTCTTTGCACATGAGGTGGGTCTCCTGGATACAGCACACTGATGGGTCTTGACTCTTTATCCAATTTGCCTGTCTATGTCTTTTGATTGGGGCATTTAACCCATTTACATTTAAGGTTAATATTGTTGTGTGTGAATTTGATCCTAGAATTTTGATGCTAGCTGGTTGTTTTGCCTGTTGATTGATGCAGTTTCTTCATAGTGTCAAGGGTCTTTACAATTTGTTATGTTTTTGCAGTGGCTGGTACTGGTCATTCCTTTCCCTGTTTAGTGCTTCCTTCTGGAGCTCTTGTAAGGCAGACCTGGTGGTAACAAAATCTCTCAGCATTTGCTTGTCTATAAAGGATTTTATTTCTCCTTCACTTATGAAGCTTAGTTTGGTTGGATATGAAATTCTGGGTTGAAAATTCTGTTCTTTAAGGATGTTGAATATTGGCCCCCACTCTCTTCTGGCTTGTAGGGTTTCTGCCGAGAAATCTGCTGTGAGTCTGATGGGCTTCCTTTGTGGATAAACTGATCTTTCTCTCTGACTGCCCTTAGCATTTTTCCCTTCATTTCAACCCTGGTGAAAAGATCAACAAAATAGATAGACCACTAGCTGGGCTAATAAAAAAGAAAAGAGAGAAGAATCAAATAGATGCAATAAAAAATGATACAGGGGATATCACTACCAATCCCACAGAAATACAAACTACCATCAGAGAATACTATAAACACCTCTATGCAAATAAACCAGTAAATCTAGAAGAAATGGATAAATTCCTAGACACATACGCCCTCCCAAGACTAAACCAAGAAAAAGTCAAACCCCTGAATAGATCAATAACAAGGTCTGAAATTGAGGAAGCAATTAATAGCCTGCCAACCAAAAAAAGTCCAGAACCAGACGAGTTCACAGCTGAATTATACCAGAGGTGCAAAGAGGAGCTGGTACCATTCCTTCTGAAACTATTCCAAACAATACAAAAAGAGAGAATCCTCCCGAACTCATTTTACGAAAACAGCATCATCCCGATACCAAAACCTGGCAGAGACACAGCTAAAAAAGAAAATTTCAGGCCAATATCCATAATGAACATTGATGTGAAAATCCTCAATAAAATACTGGCAAGCCAAATCCAATAGCACATCAAAAAGCTTATTCATCACAATCAAGTCAGCTTAATTCCTGGGCTACAAGGCTGGTTCAGCATATGCAAATCTATAAACATAATCCGTGACATAAACAGAACCAAAGACAAAAACCACATGATTATCTCAGTAGATGCAGAGAAGCCCTTTGACAAAATTCAACAGCCCTTTATGTTAAAATGTCTCAATAAACTAGGTATCAATGGAACATATCTCAAAATAATAAGAACTTTTTTTTTTTTTTTTTAAGACAGAGTTTCGCTCTTGTTACCCAGGCTGGAGTGCAATGGCGCGATCTCGGCTCACCGCAACCTCCGCCTCCTGGGTTCAGGCAATTCTCCTGCCTCAGCCTCCTGAGTAGCTGGGATTACAGGCATGCGCCACCATGCCCAGCTAATTTTTGTATTTTTAGTAGAGACGGGGTTTCACCATGTTGACCAGGATGGTCTCAATCTCTTGACCTCGTGATCCACCCGCCTCGGCCTCCCAAAGTGCTGGGATTACACGCGTGAGCCACCGCGCCCGGCCTATAATAAGAACTATTTATGACAAACCCACAGCCGGTATCATACTTAATGGGCAAAAGCTGGAAGCATTTTATTTAAAAACTGGCACAAGACAAGGATGCCCTCTCTCACCACTCCTATTCAACATAGTATTAGAAGTTCTGGCCAGGGCAGTTAGGCAAGAAAAAGAAATAAAGGGTATTCAGTTAGGAAAAGAGGAAGTCAAATTGTCTCTATTTGCAGACGACATGCTTGTATATTTAGAAGACCCCATCGTCTCAGCCCGAAATCTCCTTAAGCTCATAGGCAACTTCAGCAAAGTCTCTGGACACATTTTTTCATAGTGGCTGTACTAATTTACATTCCTTTCTGTGGGGAAGTGGTCCCTCCCCAGACACAAGAATTAGCTTGTGTTTTGTCCTGAACTTCCCTGCCTACAGAACTGTGAGCAATAAATTTCTGTTCTATATAAGCTACCCTATTTAAGGTATTTTTTGTTATAACTGCCCAAATGGACTGACACAGAATGAACCCTATGTTGTATTAAGTAAAGTTATTTCAGGTTTTATTAGTGATTGCAGCATAATCAGGGATTACCCTTGCTAATATAACATACTCTATTTTTTTAGTTCTCTATTATGTTCTATTGATTTATTTGTCTGCCCTTTAGCCTATACTATTCATTTTAGTGATGGTAGCTTCACATTACATCCTAATATCTTACAGAACAAACTCTTGCTTCCCTCTGCCCTGCCCAATTCTT